AATTCACATCCAACACGTGGAATACAGAATGTCTAACGGTTCAAGGAAAAGGCACCAGCTGTGGGAAGGGGATCTCCCCATCCCGCCTTTACATAAACCTCTAAGAACACTGCTTTTCATAAGAAATAGTCAACATATTTGAGCATTTGAGCAGTAGCCTTTCTTCTAACTAGAAAACAAAGAAACATGTCTAGAGATACATTTTACTTGGCTTTTGTCTTGCTTTGCTTTGCATTTTGAGGGGGTCATCAGTTTCCTTGAGGTGCCACACATGCGACTTTCAGTCCCTCGGAGGTATGGTTTATGCGTCATTTTCAGTTGGAGATAAAGACTGCAACTATTGTCCTACACAAAATCTAAAGAAGAGGTAGTGAAAGCTGGGCTCCTACCAAGAAGAAGCATGTAAGGTACTGAAAACAGATGTGATAGTGTTAACTTTTCCCTTTGAGTCCTTCCAAGAAGAGCCCATATCTGCGGGCAGGAGGTTAAGAGTCCCTGTAATATGAAGACGTATTTTCCGCCAGTCTCCTTTTATGTTCTTGCTCTCTAAATGTAACATGGGTCTGATGGACACCCAGTCGCTGAGAGAAAGAACTGACATGACAGACCTGGATTTTACCAACCTAAACTCTGAGTCTGAGACCAAGTCTGATGCCTAGCATTAGAACACATAGTTGTGCAGACAATTCCAAAGACCAGAACGCTATGGATCAAGGGCCCAGGCCACCTAAGCCTTTGTAGTTCCTTAAGCCAAAAACACACTCTTCTAACATACTTTGTGTGGCTGGGTGCTTCTCATCAATTGGTTTCAGTTCAAATACTACCTCTGAAGGCAGCCTATTTCTAGTTAAATTAGCTCCCTCACCAAAAACTGCTCACACCATTACTCTATTCAGAGTCTTCAAAACACTTACTTACACCTCTTTTTTCTGTAACTCTCTTTTCATTGTTGTTGTTGTTTTTGCTGCTGCTGCTGCTGCTGCTGCTGCTGTGGTTAAATGTCTATTTCACTAACCAGATCTTAAGTCACAGGAGATTTTTGCTGTGATACTCAATACTATATGTGGAACTTGAGACAATCATAAAATATTTTGGAAAAATGGATATCCAAGACCAAACTGAAAGTCAGAGATAGTTTCATCTGTGATTATTAAGCATATACCTTTATCCAAGTGCATGCCTCTTATTACAGATCTTCAAGGCATTGTGTGCCAAACCTAACCATACCTCTGATGGGGATATTTCTAAAATATGCAGTTGTTGCTATATTTCTGCTCTATCATTTTTCACAGGTTTCAAAATGTGTCATAAAATATTATTGGGTCAGGGACCAGGCAGGCCACCAGGTGGTTGAGAATGATTTATTTCCCTGATTTCAGACTACTAAAGAAAGACTGCAGGAAGAATGCCAGTTCTTATCTCGGGACTTACAGAATACAAAAGATAAAGGGACCTTGAAGTTCATCTAGTGCAGATTCACTCTTAATTTAAAAACCCATTCTACAGCACCAATGTCATGGCTATCTGACCTTGATGTTTTTAGTGATAAAATACTCACTATTTTATAAGATAACCTGTCTCATGATTGGACAGATTTTGATGAACAAGGTCTTCCTTCTATTAAGTCAAAATTTCCCTCCTGTAACTTCTGGCCCTTAGAGCTACACTGCCTATGCTTGGGTCCTGTTCTCAATTATGAACTTTGAAATAGTTGAAAACATCTAAAATATCCCCCTTGGTGTTTTCAAATTCAAATTAAGCATCTCAAGAAGCTCCTATTCACTCATTTCTCCTTTTAAACATACATGTTCCTACTGGGTGACCTCAAGATTCTTATTTTTTAATTTTGGACTTAATTGTTCTTGAACTATACAGCTACTAAATGATTCATTTTTGAAAGTCAATTATATATAGAACTATGCTCCATATTATTACTAATATCAGTATCAGTTTATTATAAACTGCAAAAGCATATTGCTCTGATACAACGAACCATCTATCTGACCAGAGGTCTGGGCGTAAAATCAACTTATAACTGACAATACCAGTTGACTATTGGAAAATTCAAAATAATCTGGGTTACCAATCTGCATGTGTACAACAGTATGGCGTTTCTCAATCTTTCAATCAGATGTCCTGAAAGCAAAGTATCTCATTATGAAACATTAGTGGTAGAAAACACCTAAGCCAGACTAGGAAAAATGAACTGGGTATTTTATAAGAAGAAAATTAAAGCACATGTGAATATTGAACAATTTTTTTCAGCTAAAAACATGAAAATGGGAGAAATTGCCCACATTCAGATTTTGAAGAGCTGCATCTGGTGACATTTTCTGGTTTCCTGATCCCAGTCCTGCTTAGAATCCTATCCTCTGCACTAGGGACACAAGCTGCACTAGTGTACTGTAGTAGCACAATCCTTTTCAATATTGACTCGCCATTTCTCAGAACTATCAATGGGCAAAATTCACACTAAGGTAGTTGAGAGGTTTCAATTCAAAGTCGACACATATTTATACTGTAATTACCCATTCCCTTAATGGCTAACAGTATTTAAACTGCAGTAGTTTCCATTTTGCACTCTCTCAGAACCACTATATAATGTATTCTGTAATATGGAACAAATAAGACTTTGTTGCATTGTATTGACCATTCTACTATAAACACTAGCCAACAGAGATGTCAGTTTTCACCTAGAGCAAGAGATGTGTCATCATAACTGGGGAACCTAGGAACACTGACTCAGCAAAGTCTTATTCAATTAACTACATCTTATGTATTCTTTTTGCATTGAGCCAAATATTATTAAACATTATATATTCAGAATAATAAAAGCAGACATGGTATTTTCAGTTATGTGAGGAATTTAAATTCATAGTTTGATATCTTTTATAACAAATTGAGTTACTCAGTTATTTCAATAATACTTGTTATGGGTTAGACTGTGTCTTTCAAAATTTATGTATTTAATTTGTGATCTCCACAGCTACAATGAGATTTCATTTGTGAACTGGGTTGTTGAAAATGTGATGATGTGAAGATGAACCCATGCTGGAGAAAAGGGGGTTCCTGTTGACTTGGGAACCCTATAGAGGAAATTCAGAGACAGGGACTCACATAGACAGATGCAGATGAAGACACAGGTCAGGATAAAGTTTCTACAATACAAGGAATGTGAAGCTGCCAATCATTCGCCAGAAGCTTGGTGAAAGCCATGAAACAGATTCTTCCCCCAAGGCCCCCTAAAAACTCAACCTGACTGGCATAATGATCTTAAACGTCTACCCTCTAGACTGCAAGAAATTTCCATTGTTGAAGGCACTCATTTTATACTTTGTTCAAATGAATTAGCATGCAGTATAAATTATATATTTCTTTTAAAATTATTTATTTTGTGTGTATGACTGTATTGCCTTCATGTGTAAAGTGCACCCATGTTGTGCAATACTCACGGAGGCCAGAAGGGGGTGTCAGCTTCCCCTGGAACAAGAGCTATAGGCTGTTGTTAGCTGCCTGTGGGTGCTAGGAATTGAATGCAGATCTTTTGCAAGAGCAGCCAGTGCTCTTATCTACTGAGCCATCTCTCCAGTTCCAACTATATATTTCTATAACTGACTTCACTAGGTAGTTGAAAAAATGTTTGGGGTTAATAATATTTTTTGGAAAAAATATATGCTCCTAAGGTAATTATCTTTAAGTATATAAAAGGTGTATCTTAAAACTCCCAAGGTGGGGACTAGAGAGATGGCTCTGTGGGTAACGTGTCATACAAGAATGGGGACCTGAATTTAAATTCCCAGCACCCACAGAAGAGGTAGGTACAACAGAACACATATATAACCCCACCACTGGAGTAGTGGAGACAGGCAGATCCTAGGGGCTTGCTGGCCAACCAACCTAGCCAAAACAGCAAGTTCCAGGTTCAATGAGAGACCCTGTCTCAAAAAATAAGGTGAGAGTGATAACAGAAGACACCCGAGGTCAACCTCTGACCTGCATGTGTGCACAAGTGCACACACACACACACTCACACACACACACACACACACAGGTAAGTGTATCCACACATATATGTATATAAACACACACACACTTTTTTTCCTTTTTTTGTTATACTTTTGAGACATAGTCTCTCTGTAGCCCCAGCTGATCAGGCTGGACTCAACCTCACAGAGATCCACCTGCTGGGATTAAAGATATGCATCATCCCAACCAGGGCCTGAGACTTTCAACCGCATTCTATGACTTCATTGCCCATTGTGAGAACTAGATCCAGGGTGGAAATGTAGCTAGTAAAACTGAGAACTGAAGTTTTAATTTAATTGTTTCATTTAGTTTTAATGGAAATTAACACATGTGGTCAGTGGCGCTTGTATGGGACAGTACAACTTTAGATATTAATTTAAAAATAGAATTCCATTGCTAAAAGTGTGAAAAATCACAACTGGAGGTGAAAGTCTGGAGAAACTTCTAAGGAGTAACTGATTATTGAGATAAATTCTCACAGAACACACAATCTGTACATTTCTTGGCACAGATGGTTTGATTTTAAACCCAGTAAATGTAAAGTTTCATCAGCAAACTGAAACTGACATTACCAGTTGTCACCAGCAGGGGGATCCGAAGAACAGCACTCAGTATTTTCTCAGGCAGGAGAGTTTGCTTTTCCCCCACATCTGTGGAGTACCTAAAATACAAAACTCCAGACTGTGTGCTTCCCAGATATCCAGCTAGCTACATAACCTACATGTGCTTGTTTTAGAAAGATCCCCAAAAGGATGCAACAGAATTTGGCTCTAAGAAATAATTTCAAATCCAATTAATGATAGAACCTGCCTTTCCCAGTTTTCACTTTATTTTCCTATTCCTCCACATTATCAAAGGAAAACAAAAATAATACCTTTCAATTTACACAGAAAATTAAATTTTAACCATCACATTGCTAAATCTTATAGTTCTTTCCAGTTTTTCCATGATAAGCTGACCACACATGGCCTTACCTCTTGATAAAGGTCACTGAGATCTTCCTGGTGGGCCTGTTTAGAGCATCCTGGGAATTCGCTAACACAGCAGGAATCTGGAGGCCAGTCCATCTCTGTCATTTCCAGCCAGTCAGTGAAATACACCACTCCACAGCACTTAAACTGAAAAAATAATTACTGGTTACACTTAGAAACTACATATATTATATATTAGATAGATAGATGATAGATATAGATTAAGATTAGATATATGACTGATAGATATAAGATAGATAGATAGATAGATAGATAGATAGATGATAGATAGATATAGATACAGATATATTTACTTACAAGAGATGAAACAGTAGATTCCTTCCACTGTACTCAGAGATAAATTCACTTATCATCTATGATATTTGTGCATTCTGTGTTGGTTACAGATATGTCATAAAGGACAACCAAAGTAACCATTCAATAACAAAACAAGTTCTAACAATGTCCACAGCACACAAAAGCCAATCTGTGACTGAGTCTTACTCTCCAGTTCTAAGATCCTCTACAGATGATCATAACAAGGAAAGATTTAACACACATACTTAGAGTAGATGAAGTTTTATTAGCATTAACTTCTAGTCACTAAAAAGAAGTTAGTTTGTATATCACCTAGTCACTAAAGTGCTTAACAAATTCAACTCTTGTGTTAAAAGTTTCCATAAGCTGAGCGTGGTGGTGCATGTCTTTAATTCCAGCACTTGGGAGGCAGAGACAGGAAGATTTCTGTGAAACTGAGACTGGCCTGGTCTACACAGCAAGTTCTAAACCAGTTGGGGATATGAGGAAACCCTGTCTCAAAAAGACCAAATAAACAAAACACAAGTTTCCATGAACTCTACGGAAAAATTTCTTAAAGCCCATATCACTAAGGTTATCAGACATGGATGGGTTTATCAGTCCAAAAACTTTGGGAACAGAGATTTGACAAACATATTTTCACTCACCACAATGGGATGCTTAAAATACGCTATAACATTCTATGATCATAACCTAAGAAAAATGGTGTGCCTCTAGCTTGAATAAATTTGGGTCTATGAAAAGTGATTCTGCTTTTCTCTAAACTATATCTAATAAAACTGTATTTTTTGTTGCATTTCATCACAGAAGAGCAAAAGCTTTCTCTGATAAAGGTTTACAAATACTGCTTAAAAGTATGTATGGGCTGGATTCAGAAAAAAAGAATTGTAATGAATAGACTTTTCCCCTTGGATAAAAGAGAATTATTCTTCTATACAGTAAGAAGCAAGGAATATGGGCAGTCATGGAGAAGAACTCTACCAAGAGAGGCTGGCTATGCAAATACATAGCCCAGGAGATCTGTGCTATGATCAGCACTGAGTCATGCCATATCACAATCCAGCACCATTTCAAAGTTTAACCAAAAGCAACTTGGAAGAATTCTGAATTCCTTATGCAAAAGCAAACAAGAAAAATACTAAATGTACTTTGCATTTTCCCCTTGCCTAAATGTCTTTTGATTTCCAAAGAAAAAAAGATGTCTAAGAAGCATTTTGAATGATAATCATCGAAAGCTCTGAATAATAAGATTTTTGAGAAACTTTAAAACAGTATTTGGGCTGGAGAGATGGCTCAGCAGTTAAGAGCAGTGGTTGCTCTTGTGGAAGACCAGGGTTCAGTTCCCAGCACCCAAATGATAACTAACAACTGTCTGTAACTTCAGCTCCAGGAGATCCAATGCCCTCTTCTGACCTCTGCAAGCACCGTGTGACATGGGTGCACTCTTATATATCTGCAAGCAATACACTCATATACACAAAATTAAAATGATAAATAAAATATTTCAATTTTTCTATATTCTTTTGTAAACTTGTTTTAAAAGCCACAAATATATCATAAACACAGCAAACTAAGTCGTTTCAAGTACCATAACTGTAACATGAACATCATGAATATGACAGATTGAGTCAAGAATTATCTAACATTATATATTTTATTTTTTTAATATTTTATTATTTTTATTTTATGTGTATGAGTGTATTGCCTGCATGTATGTGAGCACACTCATGTCACACAATGCTGTGGAGGTCAGAAGAGGGCTTCAGATTCCCCTGGAACTGGAGTTAAGGACAGTTCATAGCCTCCATGTGGGTGCTGGAAATTGAACCCAGGTCCTCTGCAAGAACAGTCAGTGCTCTTAACCACTGAGCCATCTCTCCAGCCCAATTACATATTTTATATAATACATGTAGTACTCTTCAAATAATACACGTACTGAAAAGACATCACTTTCTAAATTCCACAAATTATTTCATTTCCAAGTCAGTCTTTTAAAATCCCTTTACCCAGAGAAAGCCCACTTCCCTCATAGTTTGGTGACTCGGGGTCTTTCTGTGCTGATTACAGAGGAACTTCTTGGAGCACTCTAACTCCAGACACTGGGGAGCAACCCATTCATCTGGCCTTGTCAGGAAATAAAGTATTTCCTAGAAATGTCTTTTCTAAATAAGATAAAAATATCATGTTTAGTGCCAAACATGTTTAATAAGCCTCTGAGTATGTTCTCTTTTATATAATAACCTTGCTTCTTTTTAAATTTATTTATTATTTTTATTTTATCTGTATGAGTGTATTGCTTGCATGTATGTAAGTGCACCCGTGTCGTGTAATGCCTGCAGAGGTCAGAAGATGGCATCGGATCTCCCGGAACTGGAGTCACGGACAGTAGTTAGCTGCCATGTGGACGTTGGGAATTGAACCAGGTCCTATGCAAGAGCAGCCTGTGCTCTAAACTGCTGAGTCATCTGTCCAGCCCCATGGCTCTGCTTCTTTAACAGAAAGTTCATGAACTTGTATTGAAACTTTGCCTGAAAACTCCTTAAGATGAACTCAACATGACACCAACACAAGACTGTGGTCTATACCTCCCTGTCACTCCAACTCCTTTAACTGTTCATTATGAAAAAGTTCTACTCTTGCTAACACTGTACAAACTCTAGAAAATTCCACAGAATCACCATTTTGTATGTGAACAAACTGAGGTTCTTGATGGGGTAAGGTCATAGGTCAATGTGTGGCGGAGCCTGTGATTCGAAAGCCTACAGAGCCACCACCATGTTAAAATAAATGTATTTTTAGAAACTGAGTTAAAAAATACTAAATAAATGTCATTAGAAATGATGCAAGGGCCCATTCAGATATGATACAGGCAGAGCAGTGAACGAGGAGCTGCGGGAAGCTGAAACTTACGAGGTGAGTTTCTGACCTATGATTTATTTTGGAAGAAGGGTATCTCCTAAGCCGAGTTGTCTCTCCCTATCCAAATTTCTATGCTGAAATTCTAGTCCCTAGTACCTGAGAATGTGGCTGTGTCTGAAGACAAGATCATTATGAAGGTAATTAATTTAAAATAAGGTGATGGGGTGTGCCTTAATCCAGTATGAATATCTTTATAAGAAAAGGAAACATAAACATGGACACATAGGGAGGGCAGACAATGGGGAGACATGGGAAGGTCATCTCCAAGCCATGGGGAGAGGCCTTGAGAGATACCAATATTGCCAACACTTTGATCTTGAACTTTTAGCCTCCAGAACAGTGAACAAACACTTGTCTTAAGTAACCTTGTTTGTGGTACTTTGTCATGGTAATCCTAGAAGACTAATACAAGTGGCTTTGAAAGTCCTCTTGGTGGAGGTACTCACCACTCATATGAACTAGTCTTAGGATACGAAGAGGGAACATGTGACAAGTCGAAAAGTAGCGTGCAATAAATTGCATCGCTTTAAACGCTTCATGGAGGTGGAGTCCCATCAGGAGGGAAAAACGTTCACTGTTTTTCAGCCTCGTTTATCACAAAGTCTACATCATAAGTGCCAGAAAATAAAGACTCTTGGAACAACTACTCTGGACAGTAGCTAAATATGGCTTACTATCAATTCCAAAAGCTTCACTTTGTGTGTGTGTGTGTGTGTGTGTGTGTGTGTGTGTGTGTATGTGTTTTAGTATAATTGTACAATCAACAAAGTCAGGAAGCTTTGAAATAAACAGGAACTCTGGGTGACAATGATAATTTCATCATTTCAACAATTGTGACACAAAGAGCCAGATTTGGAGATTGTCCTGGACTTGAATGTCTGCCATACGTGCAATCAGGGCAGAGTGAAGAGCTGACAGTCCAGTAAGATCCTCCTTCTCAAAGGGTTCATGGCCCAAAGCCAAGATAAATGAAAGGAAACTGAGATCCCTCATCCTCTGGGAATGCCACATCAGTCACAAGGAAACTGTTTAGAAGAGCCAGTTTAAAGCAAGATCAATGCTTAATTTCAAGTCATCGGATTTTAAAGATCAAAAAAAAATTGCCACATTTGAAATGGTCAGATGAAGAGTTGTAAAACAGTTGGAGAAGGAAAGCTAAAAGTTTCTATTTTTGGAATGTCATTGTTATAGGTATAAGCTAAATGAGATCCAGTTTCCTATCTCACTCAAGTGAAACTGGATTATCCCCATTTTACAGGTCAGAAAAGTGGGTCTTAAGGAGATTAAGTAAATGATAGTAAACAGTAGATATAGGATCTAAGCTAAGATCATCCTGACTCAGAAAAAGCATGTCCTTAATGATATTCATATTCACTAAATTCTCAAATGGGAACAAACTTTTTAAAATAGTAAAATGTTTAAAACTCAGTTAACACTAAAAGTAGTAAACATATCAAAAAAGACAATATTCAAATAAAACTTTGCATATTTATTAAATATCATGAAAAAGAAACCAGAGTAACTGCAAAATGACTTTTAAATAAATACATGTGAAACAAATGAAATGAAGCATTTTGAGGAGAGATGAGCTTGGCATGGCTCGATGCATACTGGGAAAAACTGCACCAGGCCCATCCAATTCATAGGCTTAATTTTTCAGTTCAGAAAACATATTAAAACTAAAGTTTCAAACAAATGTTTTGAAAATATTCCATTTGTTCTATACTTTTTACCCCCAGGAAGGACAGCACTTACCTCTCTCTGAAAAAAATTCCAAGCATGAGTAAGCCACCGATACCTAGGTAAGCCATAATTTGTCATCCTGGCTTTCAAAGTAACCATATCTGACCACTGTACTGGAACCTGGAGATAAAACCAAAATATCAGTACACAAGCACAGTCAGCCAGATGCAAACTCACTTGCACAACTATTAACACACTGACAATGCACAAAGAATGTATTAAAGCTGACAAATACTATTTTAAATTTATATTTGCTTGTAGATTAAATTAAGCTCAGGTCAACAAATCGGTCATTCAAAATATTGAAATAGGTATCAAGAACCAAAAAATAGAAAGGGGAAGTGAGTATATAAGTCTCTAAAACCTATGATTGGGGTAATTTTGAAATGTTATTTAAAGTAGTAATATCCAGGGCTGGAGACATGAATCAGTGGTTAAAAGCATTTTCTGCTCTTGCAAAGAACCTGGGTTGGTTCCCAGCACTTACAAGGTGACTCATGACCATCTATAACTCCAGTTCCAGGGAATCCAACACCCTCTTCTGGTCTCTGGGGGTACTGCACACACATGTTGTACTTACATGCAAGCAAAACACTCATACACATAAAAATAAATAAAATATTTTCTTTTTAAAGAAGTAGCATCAAGCTGGGGAGATGTCTCAGTAAGAGAGCTTGCTGCACAAGTGTGAGGATGAGCTTTAATACCCAGCACGTGTAAGTAGCTGTGTGGCTGCGTGTGCCTATAACCCAGGCACTGGGGGAAGAGGATGCAGGAGGGTAATTGGAATTTGTGGGATACCAATCTAGAGGAAAAAATGACAAGTTCCATGCTCAGTGAGAGACTTTGTATCATGGAAACAAGGTGAAGAGTGACAGAGCAACCAAAGAGGGCACCAGATGTCCTCCTCTGGCCTCTGCATATGGAATATCTATGTGTACCTATCACATATGTACATATCACATATATGCACAAAAAACTAAATAGTATTATCAGTAGAAACAGTTTTTAAATTTTGCCCATAAAAATTCTTCAGGTTTTGCCTTTTATTAGTTTCTTTTTAATTATTTGGAAATACACAATACAAAACAAAATATCCAAACATTTGAGCATGGAATTTTGTTTCCCAAATGATGAGCTGTTTTGGTACCCATTATGGTTCAATAAAACTCAGAAACCCAGCCAAAGTACAAGTTATCCACTACACAATTATTATTATCTCATAGGCTATAGAGTATAAAATGAATGGAAGTGAAATAAATTCTCAAGAAATGCATAATTTGAGACTCTTAACATTACTGATAGATTTTTCTGGAAAGAGAGTAATGACTGGGAAGCTAGCAAGTAGAAATGACAGAAATGATGAGGGAACAGACGATGTCAAGTCTCTTGATTTAGTTGTGTAACAATCTTTAAAAATTTTTTTACTTTCCAAAATAAATAAAGGTTGTTTCTTCACTGTGACCACCATCAATCTGAAACCAAATGTGTCAAAGAAACAGAGGAGACCATTGAGTTCTGGCACACACTTCTGGATCTGGCCATAAAGCACACACACACAGGGAATGGTTGTTTGCATGGCAGAGCTAACAGCACAAAGCCCGTTCTATGTAAAAGTTGAATTCTGCAAAATTTGGCAGATAATAAACTTTAATGGCACTTCTCTTTCACATTGTTATTAGTACAGAAGCAATAAAAATTGTAGAGCCACTTTTTTTTTTTCAAGATTGCTTTCCATGTTTCACTTTTAAACAGTCCTTCCTTACTCTCTCCTGGTAATGTAATGGGGAAGATTTAAGCAAGCAAAACAATGACGTATACCCACCACTGAAATGGCAGTGTACACTCAGAGCTCCAGGAAGCAGAAGCCACCATAGGCTGTCCCCTCAGAGAGGGCAGCATCTGAACTAAAGGAAATTTCTCCTGTTCTTATATTTCTTAAATTATATTAGAATAAAGCATTCCCTTTCAGAGACCATTTTAAACATCCTACACTTTGGAGATTTATCACATATCAGTAGGACATATGCCTTACAATCCATTTTTAAGATCCATAAAAAGAGCAGGGTGTAGTGGCTCATAACTATAACCATAGCAATTAGGAGACTCAGACAGGAGGATTGCCAGGAGTTTGAGGACAGCCTGGGTTACATAATGAGTTCTAGTAAAGCCTGGACAAAACGTGAGACCCTACTTCTAAATTTAGTAAGCAAATAAATCCACAGAATCTCATTTCTAAAAATCTCTTAATGACCTAACAGAACAGAACCAAAGGCTGAGGTGAAAAGGATCAAGTGTTAGCTGTAACATTTACTCTTTTGTGTTTGAATAGCAGGGATATAGAGATATTTTTGAAAACAGAAAAACTTTTGACCACTGAATCATAAAAGTTGAGGGAGGTCTAACTACTTTCTCATTTTCCTACTGTACACTTTCTGTTTTAATATTATTATGCTTTTATGTATATGAGCATTTTGCCTGTATGTAAGTATATCCATGTCGTGCAATACCTGCAGAGAACAGAAAAGGGTATCAGATATCCTGGAACTGGAATTACATGCAGTTGTTAGCTGTCATAAGGGTACTGGGAACTGAACCCTGGTCTTCTAGAAGAACAACAAATGTTCTTAACCACTGAGCCATCTGTCCATCCCCAAATTGTACATTATCTATGGATGGCACGAGAATAGGACTCTCAAAGAAAGCAAGTGAACTCCAGGCTTTTTCCCCTTTTTAATTGAATTCTTGAGAATTTCATATACTATATTTTCTGTGTATTTAATCCCCTCCCCTACCTGTCCCTCCCGTTACTACCCCCCATCCAAATTAATGTTCTCGTGTGTGTGTGTGTGTGTGTGTGTGTGTGTGTGTGTGTGTGTCTATAAACCCTAATTTGTGTCTCCAAATATCTTTCAGTATGGTTCCATCCACTGAAGCCTGGTCAACTTACCAAGAGTCACATTCTTGAAAAAGACTGATTCTCCCCATCTGAGCAGTCATCAGTTGACAATAGTTCCTCAGGTAGGACTGGGTTTTCTTACCCACTTCCCCACGCCTATGCTGGGATTTTGTCTGGTATGAGCTTACTTGGGACTTGTGTATGCTGTCGCCATTGTGAGCTCATATGAGTATCTGGTCAGTTGTCTGGAAAATTCTGAGAACTCCAGTTTTTATAGGAGATTTTTATGACGAAAGTTGTTAATTTTATGTTAAGGAGGTAGTACCGTCCTGACTCTTCAACTCTTCACAGCTTCTCTCTTCTTTCTGAGAGCTATCATAGTTGGAAGCAGAAACTCTTCACTGGGCTATGAATACCAGCACAGCACCCGGCAGGCACATGTAAATTGCAATGAGCAGAGCAGCTGCTGAATATTCAAAAGTCTCAAAACACTAGCAGATTCTCCACAGAATCTTTAATAAATGTGCCAACACCAGAAATGGTTTCAATTTTATTACACAAATACCTAATGCTCCACTTCTCTCTGAAACAAATACAAAACAATGCCCTCTCTTAAGAAGTCTTGAATTTTTAAATGTTTTAAAACTCATTGGGGAACTTGTCAGAAGCCTGGGTCCAGACTTTTCCCTCCATTCTGATTGAGTACATAGGGGCTGGAACCCAGAATACACATGACTAAGAATCACCTTGTATGACTCCATAGAACACCCAAAGGCTACATGTTGAAAAGCACCATTTCACAGAAACAGAAATGCTCAGTGAGGCGTGACAGCAGCTAGCGCTCACAGAGAAGCAAAGGCACTCCACTCCGTGCACTGGGAGCAAATGTGCTAATTTTCACCACTGAAGTGAGCAAAATAACTAATAGCCAACGGGAGCAAGGGGGAAATGCAAGCAACAAAGCAAACAGGGAAAAAGGTTGCGAACTCCTCATTCATTCTAACAGCTTCTAGTGGCTTCAATGTCTGAAATAAGAGGAGGAAGTACTGAGAGACTATTTTCAAGTAGCAGAGTCTCACACTGAGAGCTCCTGGACTACAGTGAGCACACAGCAATTCTTCAAATGTGCTTCTTAAAACAGAATACGTTCAGTTTATTGCAAACAGGAGACAGACACACGTTCCCTCCTCACAAGTTTCTGCTGTGGGCAGCCGTGACATGTTTCAAGGAGGTGTTCCACCATCTTCAAACAACTCACTCAGCACACGCAAAGTTCCTATTATTAACTCAGAAGTTGATATAATTATCTTGGAACTTAGGCTAGCAATAGTCCATGATATCTACATTTAAGAAATCAATGGAATTAACATGTCACAGTATCCCAAACTAAATATTCTAAGGTATGATTAGAAATGAGCTTCAGACACAGAAAATAAAAACACTATTTTTTTCAGAAACATCAAGAATCTTCACCATTACCATGTAGTATGAACATGAGAAGTAACAGCCACGTGTCAGAACTACTCTGCAGCGTGTGCATCAAAGGCTGGACTGGATACTGTTCTACATTGGGATTATGTCCCACGTGGAACTCACCGTAAGCTCCTGCTCGTACGTCCAAACACCACAAGCCAGTTCTACACAGAAGATGACAAGCAAACTTCCAAAGTACTGCAGAAAGACAAAAGGATGCCATTAGAACAGAGCCAAACGAAGGATGGCCACCAGAGCAGAGTACTCCGTTCTGTTTAACATCAAGAACACTGAGGCCAGTTTTCAGGGAGCACATGGGGAAAGCTTCAGCAAATTGGGGAACACCTGCAGGTAACCTTTAGGACTTACCAAGGCAGGGTTTTTAGTAGCAGTAGTAGTCAGATTCTAGGACAAATCTCTTACCACTGTGAATATTCTCATTGAGCTGTGTAGGAACTTATATGACATGGTTTAATAAACTGAATCACGTTATCTGAGAATTCACATTTAGATCATCTCAAAATGGATGTATGAGGTCAGCAAGTTCCATGCTCTACCTATGACCTAGAGACCAGAATTAAATGGTGGCCCTGCAATCAGGTGGGAAAGAATGGCATCAACAAGAGACATTGAACTGACTGGATTTAGAAACCAAGAGGGAAAGATATATCTCCCCAAAGCAGAGGAATAGGGAGAGACAATTTCTGTGAGAGGACAAAAGTATACACTTTTTTAATAACATAGAGATACATATCCAACTTTTGGAAGTGTCACTGCAAGGTTCAACTACCTAAGGATAGACCTGGAAATTATTATCCTGATAAGAAGCAAAAAGAACAACTTTTGGATTGTCTTCTATTTATCCAGTACTTTCATAATTCAGTCAAGGACCTTGTGAAACAGACAAGTGTTACCCCATTTCACAAATGAGGAAATTAATGTAAAAAGTAGGTCACGTGGCTCGGAATATGCCTGGTACATTCTGAGGTTAGACTGCTGCAGCACTGCCCTGTGAGCTCAGCTTTACCACTCCCCAGCTGTGGAAGTAACCTTACAGAAGCAGGTAGTGTGGTAAAACAGGCTTTCTAGAAGATTTTTCCATGGACGCTGGCAGGATCAGATCATCTTTGAGCTCAAGAGTCTCCTACTCCCCTTGTAGTGCGGAACTGGAATGAAAGCTTCGTAGGGTGGGTGGACACTTCATTCTGCTCTTCATAGAGAAGTACTTCATAGATAAGTACTGATAAGTACTTGTTATATAAAAGAATAAGTAAAGACAAAGTAGAATGAATTGACCATGCTGGAGCTCCCTCAAACTGAGATCTGCCTAGGCTTCTGAGAAAACTAGATTTAAGAGGGAGAGGAGGCAATGCTGTTAGGACTCTGTAAGAAAAACAGTCCAGGAAGAGGAAGCATCAAATGCAAAGCCACCTTAGGGGTAAATGAGCCCATTAAAATTCACGGTCACTGGAGCACAGACACGCTATGATCAGTCGAGCAAGTGTGAGCTAATGCTTTGAGGAACAGCAGCTCAAGGAAATGATTGCACTTTATACTCAGTGTGATGAAACTCTTTAGTAGGTGACCTGAGGAAAACATTTCTGGCTGTTTTACTTATGAAAAACAACCTATAGAGAAAGCAAGGTCAGGGCTGGAGAAATGGCTCAGGGCACTGGCTGCTCCTGCAGAAGACCCAAATTTGAGTCCAGTACCCACATGGCAGCTAACAACCATGTGCAACTCCAGTTCCAGGGGGTCTGGCACCCTCTTTTGTCCTCTGCAGGCATTGCATGACATGAGTGTATTGACATACATGCAGGCAACACATTCATACACATAAAATCAAAATAAAGTTTAAAAATAGAAAAAGCAAGACCATGAGATTTACATAAAACATGGCTAAATTGGATGGGAGCAGGAAATGGGGAAAAATTGGACTGATACAGGACTGTGGGCCTTCAGGACAGGCATTTTTAGTGTCTTTGCTCAATATTTGTCAAAAAGAGGAGTACAATAAAAGATTTAGAAAATTATATTGATTTCCTACTACTTCTCTGCAATGTCCGTATAGTTTAAAAATACAAACCACTGGTAGCAGTTGTAATTTGCTTTCCTCTTATTTCTTTCATTTAAAAGAACAAAACACTATTTAATTGAAGGGCTGGATTTAAAGCATGTGAAGGTGTTCTATAGTTTCAATAGAATGAAACTAGTAAAAGAATTTGGCAACTACTCCATAGAGCTCTGTAATAGCATGTGAGGCATACTGCCATGCGGGTCATAGCCACCCACTGTGCTGGGGCGGGATGAAGGAACATGCATGCCGCATTCAGCAGGCTATCACTTAGCATGCACCTCTCGCCTCTCTTCTTACTTTCCCAGTGCATGTGGTTTATTTGATGAGGTTGTCTGCACCTGACTGGCTTACACAGCAACTCACCCTTCCTCTACGACAGCAGAAAGTTCTGAAGTTGGAATCAAAAATTTAAGTGCAAACCCAGTTCCAAAATACACTATGCGATTTTTGGGTAATTCACTTCACTGCCTGGTGTCCAATTGCTCATCTGTATAATGAAGATAAAAATGAAGCTTTCTTCGCATGTCAAGGAGGATTTAGTACCCAACCAAGCATCCAGAAAATAGGAACTGTGTTCCTAATGCTCTTCTGAACTGCTCTGTGTAACCTAGTCCATGCTCTCTTCCCTCCTGTGCACAACCTTTAGAATCACTGTTTGTTCCAGGACTTTACCTCTCATTCTTGGCCATTAGTCTTCTCCTCCCTCTGTGTATCCACGTTTCCTTGTCTGCTGTAGTCCAGGTCTCAAAGGCTTAAACCATTTGTCTACCTTTCTCCACAAATTACGGTGTCACTCAATAGCTAGGGCATCAATTCCAGCTGGCAAGATCTTATTCTTAAACATCATTTTATTCCCAGTGCCTAAGCAGTGCCTGTCACCCAGCAGGCACTCAATAAATGTCAGTGGAAATAATGATCCGTTTGCAAACTAAAAAGGCCAGTCTCAGCATTTCTTTGGGTTTCTCTACCTAATTTGAACCTTGAGTTTCTTGTTAACATTTGACTTCCCTTGATTTCTGCCTACACATTTGTATTTTAAATATTGCCTCTCTGTTTTATGTATGTCTGTTTTTGTAGACTATACTCTGATAATCCAATGTGCCTGGAAACACTTAAGACAATTTACAGTTAAAGAAAGGGAGTGCTATGTCCCTCCACATCTTCCTTGGCTACTATCAACTAAGCATTTCAAAATAATAAAAAATAAGAAAATGCATGTTTATACAAGGAAATGTGAATGTAATTATTCACATTACCATTTTATTTACTTTGTGAAATTATTCAATTTAAGGTTCCTTAAAATAGTTAAGCCCCTCTATTCTGACTAAACTAAAACTTGTGTTATACATATCAGTTTTATCCTCAAAACATATTGTTATTTTTTAATAAAAGCATTTAGCATTATGTTCTGATTTTCTGATAATAGGACACACATGTAAAGTGGTTTTGTTACCTTGTTTGAAAAGCTATAATAATAGAAATATCATGACACAACAGACCTGTTTTCGCGGGCTCATTTCCCTAACATGGCCTTGGGCAAGCAGCTAGGCCTCAGTTTCCTCATTTTGTAAAATGAGAATGTTAAAATTACTTGGCAGTGACATATACAGGACTCAATGATATAAAGTGCCCTTGCATTCTAACCACCCCATAAATGGTATCTGTTTTCAATCACACAATAGAATTTATTAGAACATACATTCTTCCAGTATAAGTGAGATCATGATGTTTAAAATACCTAGCATTTCTCCTGGCACACAACTGGTATTCAACTCATAGTTCTTCAATAGGTGACACTATGTCATTCTGACTAAAGAGGATGGCCGTGTCAAAAATTGCTCATCTTCTTGAGACCATCAGTGTCATCCCCACAATGGAGCAGCTAACCACAAAAACTGTTTGGTAAAATTTTTACTTTAGGGCTGGAGAGATGGCTCAGCAGTTAAAAACACTGACTATTCTTGCAGAAGCCCTGGATTCGAATTCCAACACCCACACGGCAGCTAACAACTGTGCATAACTCCAGTTCCAGGGGACCTGACAGCCTCTTCTGTCCTCCATGGGCATTTCACGACACAGGTGCACTTACTACATGCAGGCATAACACTCATACACATAAAATAAAAATAATAAATCAAATATTTTTAAAAAAATTTTTAGTATAATATCTGTCCAGTGAGAATAGAGCTGGAACGTTTCAAGATATTTGAATTAGGAAACTAAAGCAGGATGGGTGTGAAGGGTGGGGAAGCCAATGTCTTTTTTTTCCAAGACTGAAATCAATGTGTTGGCTATTTTTAAATAACCTCTGTTGGCCACAGAGTAGTGAGCGTGGCATTAGTGACTCACCTTTGTCCACTGGAAGTTCCTAAACAAGAAGGGAAGGGTGTGGCATCCCATCTTTGAGAAGTGGAAAATGGCAGGGGTCAAGGACGGACGTATGTAAGATCCTGGTGACTTGTGGGCAAATGCATCCCTCAGGTAATCATTCCCCAAACCTTATAAAGATTATTTTATTCCATCATATGTATAGATAAACTTAAAAATATATCAAGAAAGTTCCTAAAGTAATAATTATTTGTAGAAATGATCTGGTCAATGGACCGTGCTTAAAACTAAAACTAGAGGAACGAGACATATTACTTAATCTGTGGCTTCAGGATGTGGAAGGAAAGGACTAGATCTAAGATGAAATTGATAGCAGTTTCCTTTGACAGTGGCAGGGGTGAAGGACTGCTGTTTCGTAAGGTTTCCAGCACTAAATTAACTCTTTAAATGACAAGCAGGGAGCAGTCTGATAGAAGAAAGAATAGAACTTAAAGCAGGCAATTGCTCTCCTGGAGCCACAGTACCAAGGAGAAATGACTTGGAAACTAAAGGACTTTCGATGTGTTTTACACAGAAGAATTAATTTTAAAAGAAGTAATTCACTGAAAATTGTAAGTAAACAAAATATGCTTCGGGGTTATCAGAGTCAAGGGAAGTGAGTGGTATCTGGAAATTTTGAAAATGCTCAGATATTACATTTATTTTGTTAAATTTGCCTTCAGTAGTTTAAAATACATTCAGTAATATACAGAAAGTATGTATTTAAATGTGATTTATAGGCTTGATCTTGACA